ACTAGGCCTGCTTGAGCAAACCAATGAACAACGGGAGGACAGGACTTATATTTAATCTTTTTTGTGCTGTGAATAGCATATTTTGTGCTGTAAATCGCTCTGATTTTTTCCTCTTGAATAATATTTTGATACCTCTCCTGTGTACTATCAAGGTTTCTTGCAAAAAATAATAGTTATCAAAGAATCAGATCTTGTATATACTTTTCATCTCAACTTTGCTTTTAATATAACCTTACATTTTTTCTTGAAAACACTGGAGCGATAGCACAGCGGGTAGGGCGTTCGCCTTACAAGCGGCCAACATGGCCGACCCGAGTTCGATTCCTCCGCCCCTCTCGGAGAGCCCGGCAAGCTACCGAGAGTATTCGATATGCCAAACACAGTAACAACAAAGTCTCCAATGGAAACGTTACTGGGCCCGTTCGAGCAAATCGACGATCAACGGGAGGGCCTTTACCTTTACCTTTTTACCTTACATTTTTTCTTTATTTTATTCTGTCTCCCTACTTCCACTACCCAGCCGTCGCCACACTCCAGGACGCTTTCCGGACCCGCGCGGCAGCTCCGGCCGAGACCCACGCACAACTGAAGACCCACAGAACAAGGTAAGCGGAACTCTCTGAGACCTTGGACTCCAGGCTCGGCGGACCCAGGGACCGCAAGCGGCCGCGCGACACATCATAAAACACTAAATACTAAACACTAAATACCCGTCTTCTGGAATTGTCGTACCATATTTGATAGGGTTCAAATATGGTAACACCTACAAGGGTGATTAGAGGTCACCCCAAAAGCCTCTATACCTCTCGGAAAGACTGGCAAGCTACCGAGAGTATTCCACCCGCGCGGAAGAGCCTGGCAAGCTATCCGCTGTGTATTCGATATGCCAAAACCAGTAACTACAACTGGTCTCATTCACCTGACCCTGAAGGCTTCACCGACATGGCAGCACTGAGAAGGATGAGAAAGGAGAGGCCGACAAAATCTCAAGGCCGACCTAGGCTGCCACAACGAAGGAAGACAAAAATGATCGTCTGTACTTTCAATGCACGTACGCTAGCATCAGATGCATCCATCGAGGACCTGATGGTACAAGCGCGAATGATCAAGTACGACATCATTGGTCTGACCGAGACAAGAAGACACGAATCTCACCATGCCGTTTTCGACACTGGAGAAGAATTGTTCCTCGGAACATGCGATAAAAGAGGTGTTGGAGGCGTCGGTGTCCTTGTCAACACAAACTTAGCCAAGAGCATTGATTCATTTGAATGCCTAACAACCCGAATCGGACGTTTACATTTGAATAGATGTGGCTCACTGCCTGCAGTTTCTATCTTCGTTGTCTATGCACCAACATCTCATTATGATGAAAGAGAAATCGAGAAGTTCTACATGGAGCTAGAGAAGTTCTATAAAGAAGACCACACCTTCTACAAGATCATTGTGGGTGATTTTAATGCCAAGATAGGACCAAGAAGATCAGCTGAAGAACTTCACATCGGAACCCATGGCCTAGAATGGAACGAACAGGGTAAGAGACTGTCTGAGTTCATCATGTCGACCAAGACCATTCATGGTAACTCACAGTTCCAGAAGGCAGAATCTAAACGATGGACATGGGAGTCTCCCGGTGGACGATTCCACAACGAAATAGACCACATCATATTCAATCGACGGTTTTGCCTGACTGATGTCGCTGTTGTCCCAAAATTTCGAACGGGATCGGACCACCGTCTCCTTCGTGCAAAATTCTACTTCACAGAGCGGGGAGAAAGGGCTGCAAAGTTCAAAAAGAGAACTCCCAGAATGACCACCAACTGGGAACTCTTTGGTACTATTGCGGCAACATGGGAAGATGCCATTGTTGACAACATTGACGAGGAATACGATCGACTGGTTCAGCACCTCCATGAATGTGCGAGGAACGCCAAGAGAGAGATAGCCACAAAAAGTCGCCTATCTTCGAAAACTCTTGAGCTAATTCGCCAGCGTGGTTTGGCGCATGCCTCAGGCAACCGCAAGCTAACGTCCGAGCTTGCAAAGCAGTGCAGAGATGCGATCAAGGAAGACCTCAAAGAGAGAAGAGCAGAAGTACTGGTAGATGCGGCAGAAGCCGGGAAAAGTATTCGTAACGCCCGCCTGTCCTTCGCCAACTATAAGACCAAGATGACTGCCCTCCGACGTCCTGATGGATCCATCACATCCTCCAGAACGGCAATGGAGAAGATTATCCATGACTTCTACTCAAATCTCTTCGATAGCCATGTCCACTTGCCGACATACCAAATTCCACAGGATGGGTATGTCGTTCCCAACGTTCTCCCTTCCGAAATCCGACACGCCATTTCGTCAGTAAAGAAGCAAACAGCACCCGGCCCAGACAAGGTCAGACCTGAACACCTGAAGAACCTGCCGTCAGTACTCATCAATAAACTGGCTCGGCTCTTCACTCGCTACCTGTCTGAATGCAAGGTTCCATCTCAATGGAAAACCAGCAGGACCGTACTACTGTTCAAGAAGGGAGACATCCATGACATTGGCAACTATCGCCCGATCTGCCTATTGTCTGTCATCTACAAGTTGTTCACTCGAGTCATCCTGAATAGGATTGGCAGAACACTAGATGAAGGACAACCATGTGAGCAAGCAGGGTTCCGCAAAGGATTCAGCACCATCGACCATATCCACACGATAACCAAACTCATTGAGGTTTCTCGGGAGTTCAAGATGCCGCTCTGCTTAACGTTCATTGATTTAAAGAAGGCCTTTGATTCTGTTGAGACGGAAGCGGTCATTGAAGCCCTAGCCAATCAGGGCATTCAAGCCCAATACATCAGGATCCTCCGTGAGCTGTATTGCGGATTCACTACCAGGATCTCACCATTCTACAAAGAAGTGATCGTTGATGTCAAGAGAGGGGTGCGGCAGGGTGATACCATTTCACCAAAACTCTTCAGTGCCACCCTCGAGAACATCATGCGACGACTGGAATGGGAAGGAATGGGAGTGAAGATAGATGGTCGGCAACTACACCACCTCCGCTTTGCTGATGACATTGTTTTAATAACACCAAACATCAGCCAAGCGGCACAAATGCTGGCCGACTTTGACCGTGAGTGTGGAAAGGTAGGACTACAGCTGAATCTTACGAAGACAATGTTTATGAGAAACAGCCTTGTTCCTGACGCCCCATTCGCTCTCAATGGAACGACCATCTCCGAATGCAACAGCTATGTGTACCTAGGTCGAGAGGTCAACATGACAAATGACCTGGCACCCGAGCTGCGCAGGAGGAAGAGAGCGGCTTGGAACGCCTTCAAGAACGTCGAAGAAATAGCTAAGAGGACGAAGAACCTCCGGCTCCGGGCACATCTCTTTGATTCCACTGTTCTTCCTGCATTAACATATGCCTCAGAGACCTGGGCCCTATGCAAACAAGATGAGAACGCCATTCAGGTCTCCCAAAGAAGAATAGAAAGAGCTATGCTTGGAATATCACGTTTCACTCAAATGAGAGAACGAATCCGGAGTTCTGACATCCGTCGACGATCAAGGATCAGGGACGCTGTCTCATTTGCCAAGGTGTCGAAAATCAGATGGGCTGGTCACGTAATGAGATTTAAAGACGACCGTTGGACTAGAGCTGTTACTGATTGGATTCCACGGGATGTCAAGAGACCACGTGGCCGCCCACCTACCAGATGGTCAGACTTCTTTGTCAAGGTCATGAACGATCGGTTTGAGGCCCTCCATGTTCCCGGAGCGAAGAGATGCCATTGGGCTACACTAGCACGCGACAGGGACAAATGGAGACGTTACTGGCGCCCGCTCGAGCAAATCGACGACTAACGGGAAGTTAAGTGATTAAGTGTGATTCTGTCTCCCCTGGCCTTGTTTTTACTTTATTTTTCAAGATGCTTATGATTTATTACATCCAATATTCCAAAATCAATCCCACCACCAGTGCACCTTCCCATCACCATTATTTTCAATGTTCCCAACCACCCCACAAGCCTGACCCCATAGCAAGCCCTGAATAATTTAATTTATATTGCTTGTTATAATTCACTAAAAATAATGAAAAATGTTTGATTAGAAGAAGATGTCTTTATATTGTGTTATCTTACCATGCAGTCATTAAATCCTAGTAGAAAATATTACTAGCGTGTTGTTTCTGGTTATGCGCTTACATTTTTCTATACCTCAGTTGTCAGTTTTGTTCTTCCACAGATTTTTCCCAAAGTTATAGAGTCAGTGAATTGACTACTTAAGATGCTGGTTTTCTCCTGGCATGTTCTAGAGAAGCAGGAAGTTGCAATATAGATGAACAGGAGGAGTAAAGGTGACCTCTAAGATATGGTGAAAAAGAAAAACCCATTGTCCCTTGACCAGTCTTGACCAGACAATGAGCAGAGAGATGTTATGATATTCCTCCTCAATTCAGAAAAGCCAGGATTGGTTTCTATGTTTTGCACTTGGCACTGCTCTGATTTTTTCCCTCTTGAATAATATTTTGATACCTCTCCTGTGTACCATCAAGGTTTCTTGCAAAAAATAATAATAATTATCAGTAATAATTATTTCCATCAGCATGCTGAAAGTAGACTATAGACCAAACATGATTGCCACTCAATGCCTCTTTTGCAAACCACAACACCCAAAAGGAGAGAGAGAACAGATGGGAATGCCCTGCCACAGAGGCAGGGTGGGATGGGGGGATGGGGGTGGGATGGATACTGGGATCCGTGGTGGTGGGAAATGGGCACTGGTGGAGCGATGGGTATTTGATCATTGTATAATTGAAACCCAAGCACAAAAATTTGTAAGTCTACAACTGTACCTCATGGTGTCTCACTAATAAAAATTTTTTAAAAAATATTTCCATCTATGCACATGTCTTAAAAATTAATAGTAGCAAGAAGGCTCTGTGTGTTACTGAAATAGAGGTCAGGGTGACAATGATACCATATTTTTTCAAATCCATGACAAGATTTTACCTCTTCTGGAGGTTTGTACTTGATCCATGTTCAAGTTCCCATCATTGGAAATATGTCCCACCGCTTCCTTAACTTCTGCTCTAGTAGACATTTGGTTTCTCTTTTCCAGGAACTGATGTTTACCTCCTGAAATAAATAAGACCACATCAAACACAAAGAGATGGATAAAATATACCATATGTCATGCTGTCCCAACTCTGTGAATTGAGAGGAACTATTTAGTAGGAAAGGTTCTAGACACTATCACTGACCAATCATGTGGTCTGGGACTTAGTCACTACTTCTCTAAAATCATGGATTTGGCTGGATTGCCTTGTTTTTCCCTTACATGTTCCCATGCTCTAACGGATATCAGTATCAAAAGGGTGGTAAAATATGGCACCCATGCTTGAAATTTATCTGTAAGATTCCAGTGGATTAAACTACTTGAAAAAAATATTTCAAACATACGAATTTACTGGATAAAATATTAAAAACCTCTTTATTTTTTATTATTTAAAATTTGCTGAAAATAACAATAATTTATAACATTAAATGGGTTTCATTTGTAGTTATATGTGGGAAAATACCATTTGTATATCTGTTCAACACTGAATCTAATTGTAAGCTTTCTTTCAAATGCATAGCATTAAAGAGAGTGTGTAATTTGATGTAATGATAAAATGGATGCAGTGAAAATTCATATGTTATGAAAAGCTAGGTTTGAGTTAACTAACTCTGCAGTGACTCTGGGACCAGGCTAAGGAGGAGACAATCACTTCAGTGATGCAGTGGTGGGTCTCAGACACAGTGAAGGAAGATGCCGAGGATCAAGCTAGGAAGGAGATTACAAAGGATATCCTAAAACAGAGCCTAGAGGGGTAGGAAGAGAATCAAAACTTGCCTCAAGAGACCCTCACTACAGCAGTCAGAGAGTAACAACTCTCATCCAGAGGCCAGAGATAGTACAGGGATTCAGGCACTGCCTTGCATGTGGTTGACCCCAATTCAATCCTAGCACCACAAACACAGCCCTAAGCACAGAGCTAGGAGCAGACCCCCGATCACAGAGCCAGTAGAATCCTTGAGTATCACCCACGTGCCCCCCCAAACAAAAACAAAACAAAAAGAACCTCTTTTCTACATTTTTCTGAGATCTGTTTAAAAAGTAAGAGATTCTGGGCTGAAGCAACAGTCCAGGAGGTAGGTTACTTGCCTTACAACCAGGATCAATTCCCAGTTTCCCACATGGACCCTGAGCATCACCAGGAAGGAACTCTGAGAGCAGAGCCAGGGATAAGCCTTGAGCACAGCCAGGTGTGATGCCCAATAAAAGAAATGAAGAGGGAGGGAGTCAGGAAGAGAGGGACGGAGAAGGAATGGAGGAAGGAAGGAAGGAAGGAAGGAAGGAAGGAAGGAAGGAGGGAGGGAGGGAGGGAGGGAGGGAGGGAGGGAGGGAGGGAGGAAGGAAGGAAGGAAGGGAAAAAGGGAGGGAGGAAGGAAGGAAGGAAGGAAGGAAGGAAGGAAGGAAGGAAGGAAGGAAGGAAGGGAAAAAGGGAGGGAGGGAGGGAGGGAGGGAGGGAGGAAGGAAGGAAGGAAGGAAGGAAGGGAAAAAGGGAGGGAGGGAGGGAGGGAGGGAGGAAGGAAGGAAGGAAGGAAGGAAGGAAGGAAGGAAGGAAGGAAGGAAGGAAGGAAGGGGAAAAGGGAGGGAGGGAGGGAGGGAGGGAGGGAGGGAGGAAGGAAGGAAGGAAGGAAGGAAGGAAGGGAGGGAGTGAAAAAGGGAGGGAGGGAGGGAGGGAGGGAGGAAGGAAGGAAGGAAGGAAGGAAGGAAGGAAGGAAGGAAGGAAAAAGGGAAGGAGGGAGGGAGGATAAAATATAGAAATATAGTGTCTTCGATACTTGGTTTTGTCTTTCCTCAGAGAATCATATTACTAGCAGGACTTTTCTTTGTGGAGATTTGATTTGCCCTTGCTTCTTTGGTTGTGTCCCTGGTTTTGTAGTCATGCAGGATGATTTGGGTCTTGTAGCTGTCACAAAGTTGCTTGCTAGTTCTTAAGCTGACCATGACTCAACTTGCCACGGTCGAAAAAGAGAACAGGCTTGCCTCACTACAAATGTAGTGCGACTTGCCTGCCTGCCTTCTACCTTCAAAATCAGAAGACAGAAAAAAAAAAAGATGATTCTTTTTTAGCATAACTAGGTTAAGTAGTCTATTTCCTTTTCTTTTAAGTATTCGACCTTCTTGTCTAGGAGAAAGGGCTTAACTAGTATTCTGATTGGCTCGGTCAGTCGGGATAGACATCTATTCAACTAGAGAGTGAAATGAAAAATCCTGATTTTACACATAATCAATCTACTGTGAGTTTTCACAATTCAACAATACGCAATACATAAGAAACAATGCTTAAGAAATAAAAAACGGTGGGCTGTGGTGTAGGCAGGCCCACATGCAGGCCAGGCACAGGAGGACAAAGAGGCAGCGTTCAGTGGACCGGAACCGGAATTATGGGGGAAGGATGGGCAACATGTGGACTCCCTGCATGTCCCATCTCTCCCTTTACGGCACAGTCGTAGTTGTCGTTATGGCCGTAGTCTCAGTCATCAGAGTTCCATCATCCTAGTCTCCTCGCGGACCTCAAAGTTTCCAAAGTCTCTGTTTTCCTCCTCATCTTCTTGTCTTTTCTTCATTGTTGTGCTCTCTTTCTGTCTTCTTCCTTTGTGCTCTGCTTTTATGTGTGCCATTGTGCTCTTTTCTATCTGTCTCTCTTTTTTCTGTCTGAAATCTCTGGCTCTCGTCTCTGTATTCTCGTAGTCTCTCTAGTCTCCTTTGCAGTTATCTTCTGTCATCCCTCTGAAGCCTTCTAACCTTGACATTGTGCTCTTAAGTTCTCTGTCTTCTGTCCTTGCCGTTGTGCTCTGTCTCACTCTCTCTGTCTTCTGGTCTCTAGTCTGCTGACGTTGTCTTCTTCAGTCTCTGGTCCCTTCTTCTGACCTCTTCTAACCCTATGTCCCCGGTGACCTTGGCGACCTTGTAACCTCCAGCATAGTTTATATATAAATCATGTAGGGTGGGGATACAAAGGTGGGGTTGAACATTAACAAATCAACAACAAACCAAAAAAAAAAAATCAACAAAGAGAGGTAAGGCCACTCCTCCAGGAGATTAACTCAAGGACAAAATCTCATCTAAAGAGATTACTCCATATTAGTAGGAAATCCGCTCAAAGGTGGGATTCCATCCAGGGTCTGTTGCTTTCTTCTTTCCTCAACTAGTAATCCACTTGAATAAAGTAAAGTAAAGTAAAGTAAAGTAAAGTAAAGTAAAGTAAAGTAAAGGCCCTCCCGTTGTTGATCGATTTGCTCGAGCGGGCCCAGTAACGTCTCCATTGGAGACTTTGTTGTTACTGTGTCTGGCATATCGAATACGTCATGGGGAGCTTGCCAGGCTCTGCCGTGCGGGCGAGATACTCTCGGTAGCTTGCCGGGCTCTCCAAGAGGGGCAGAGGAATCGAACTCAGGTCGGCCATGTTGGCTGCGTGCAAGGCAAACGCCCTACCGCATACTAAATTTATTTCTAATATCTCTAGCAATTTCATTTTGTATGAGCACAGTAAGAGATATATCAAGCTTAAAGTTTGGTTCTTCCTGGGGACATCTCCCTATATATTCCAGACCACAGTCCTCAGGCCAGGTTAGTCTTCCTAACCCCAGCAGGGTCCTTACTCATGACTTTGGGTCATGACAGAGTTTATCCATGACCGTGCTTTTTAATTTATAGTTAAGTATAATGGCACTTGGCCTGGCCCATTTCGATGCCAGAGTAGCTCACAGCTTGCCCTGGGTCCATCAGTCCCTTGTTGTGACCCTGCTCTTGGAGTGGTAGGAACTAAGGGCAACTAAGGCTTAAGTCAAGTAAATATGGATGCCTGAGAGCAAATACGATTTTGGAGTCAATTAACTCCCAAGTTACATAGCATAGCATCAATTGCCTTCCTATGTCTATACATAAAGGACATTGCTAAATGAACCATACAAATGACATAAAGGAAAGAGAGAAGCAGTACAGAATTATTAGTTGTGCCTCAGTTGCATTGTTGTAGGAGTGACTCAATAAACCTTAAGCTTTCTTGGGGATATGATGCCACCAGCAGGTCAATCTGTACCTGTGAGGCGAGTGCATCAGCAGCCTGATGGTGCCTTCAGACTTCTAGATGCCCCCAAATTGCTGCTGTGCCTTTGACCAGACCCCAACAATTTGGGGTCAAGTTTACCAAGAAAGTAAATGGCCAAAATTTAGGTATATGGGAGACACACCCACAAACCACCTCTGGCTCAGCTATATAATTGAAGGCAAGGCCTCTCTGGTTCCTGATCAACCTGCTTAATGGCCAAGATCCCAAAGACTCAGAAACAGATCTCGGAACCCAGCAGCTTTTGGCAAAAATGCGTCCGGTCCCCGCAGTAGGTTACCGACACTGGGCCACCCCAGGGGGTTAAGGGTACTGTCCCTCTGACTGTTCCCCCTTGGCAGCTTGGTGGCTGCCATCCTCCAGAGACCATTGGACAGTCAGGTTTGGGCCCACAGTGATGAGACATGCCAGGCCTCATGGGATGGGAGTGGAGACAGCCCTTTCCTCCCCGTACCAGAGAGACCTCGAGTCGCTGCCACTAACAGCCTCTCTGAATTCTTATCAACCTGCTTAACAGCCATGATCTTACAGACTCAGAAACAAATCTTGCAACCCAGGGGCTTTTGGCAGAAATGTGTCTGGTCCCCGCAGTAGGTTAACCGTGCCGGGCCACCCCAGGTGGGAATAGGTTTCGTGCCTTGGCCTGTTCCCCCTGGCGGCTTTGTGGCTGCCATCCTCCAGAGGCCATTGAACAGTTAGGTTTGGGCCTGCAGTGATGAGACACGCGGGGCCTCACGGGATGGGGGGTAGAACCGGCCCTTTTCTCTGCACCCCAACAAAACCCCAGGTCACTGCCCACAAACAGCCTCTCTGGCTCCTGATCAAGCTGCTTAACAGCCATAATCCCAGAGACTCAGGAACAAATGTCGGAACCCAGCAGGTTTGGGCAGAAATCCCTCCAGATTTAACTATTAAAAAT